TGCACAAACTCTTGTTCAGCAAAAAATATGAGCTAGTTTAAGCCAAACAATTGTAGAATTCTATTCTGATAAAAACTGTATGGCATAGTAGAATGAGAAATGCAGAAAGTTACCTCTTTGTTTGCCTCTTTTCTTGTTGCTCTTGCTTTCCCTGAAATATATCGTAAGAGGAATGATATTAATATAGTCAACGAGGAAGGAATGCAATGAACCGCAGTTTCCACAAATTAAGAGGAATAAGATTAATAGAGGGAATGAGGGAAGAAATCCTAAGAGCCCCCCCNGAGTATTTGCTCTATATCCAGTTTTTTGGGTTATCGTTGAACTTATATTCACTTTGCACAAAATTTGCTAAGTCTTTTCATTTTAAGATCAATCTTCACGTTTATCAGGCCTGAAATTTAAAAATAAAGTCTAAATTGCAAGTCAATTAAGTCTATAGGGCAAAAATTACACTTAATATGCATTTAAAGCCAAATAAGTCTGAAGTCAACAAATATTTTCATGCACTTAAGTCTAAATAGGTCTGAAGTGAGAAAATTGCACTTAAGATGCACTTAAGGCCAAATAGGCCTGAAGTGCAACCAATCTTTTCATGCACTTAAGTCTAAATAGGTCTGAAGTGAGAAAATTGCACTTAAGATGCACTTAAGGCCAAATAGGCCTGAAGTGCAACCAATGTTTTCACGCACTTAAGGCCAAATAGGCCTGAAGTGCAACCAATCTTTTCATGCACTTAAGGCCAAATAGGCCTGAAGTGCAACCAATCTTTTCATGCACTTAAGGCCAAATAGGTATGAAGTGTAAGTTGCCTAGAAACATAAATTTGTTCTTCGAATTTCAACAATTCAACACCTAAATCTACTCCAAATGATCTAAAATTTGAAACATAACTTCCAAATATCATAAAGAACAAATCTCAATCATTAATTTGTCAAAATAACAATCAATCTAACAAACCCATCTTGTAATTTAATAATAATAATAATAAGATGAAATCCTAAGCAATAACAAAAAAAGGAATGCCACATCAGCTCACTACTGTAAAATACAATAAATCACCTTAAAACCTGCTCACAAATACCATGTAAACTCACTGTCACCTTTGTTTTCACAGCGACTAAGAAGAGGAAGGAGGAGGAGGAGGAGGAGGAGGAGGCATGAAGTTGTCTACACTTTACGTACTAATTATTTTTTTATAAAAAGTGAGTGCAAGTTAAATGGTGGCAACCAAATAGGGCGCCCCATGAAAGTTTTATGATTTTGAGATACTAGTCTTTGAGTACAGGCTTTGTGCACGCGTGTACCCACCTCAATATAAATATAATCTTAAAAAACTACATAAATATTATTAAATTATATGTTTGAATATAAAATAAGAGTCACAAGAAAAATACATGTTCCTGACATGATGAATGTTGATCCCAAATAAGCTAGCTCAACGAAGGAAAAACTTTTGTCCAACAAAAATCCTCAGTTAATTTTTTGTGATGATAGAGATCAAGGTGAGATTATCTTATCAAAATTATTGTTATTTCAGTTAACTAATACTGAAAAGAAATAAGTAACTCCATAATACTTTCACCATAATTCTTCAATATTTGTCAAATAACATAACTTGAAAAATTGAATCTTTTGCTTGTTTAGAGATGTGAGAATAAAAAGGTTGACCCTATAGATCCTAAAAAAATTTAACATGGTACTATTATATTGTCTATTTTTGTCTTCTTGAGTCGAGAGTCTATCGAAAACAGTCACTCTACCCCCTCGGGGTAGAGGTTAGGTCTGCATACACACCACCCTCCCCAAAACCCACTTGTGGGACTTTACTAGGTCGTTGTTTTTGAGCTTTGTCTACTTGAAAAATAATTTTATTTGTACGAACGATTTAGAAAAGAATATTAAATTAGATTCTTTTGCTAATACGTGTCACAATCCAAAATTCCAACCACGAGGTCGTTATGGCGCTTAACATCTGCTTGCTAGTCAAGCGAACATTAGCTAAACAATTTAGCAGTTTTACAATTTTAAAAACACAATAAATAGAAATTAAGTCTGAAATATCCTGAAATGTATAATAAATTCATAAAAATCGTTGTCTAGACTAATCCTAGAAACATGTATCATAAGTACATGAGCTACTGAAATACTACAAATAAAGTCTGAAATGAAATACAAATTTTCTGATACAAGGTAAATGGTAATATAGATGGGAAGGGGACTTCAGGGTATGCAGACGCCGTGCAACACTACCTCAAGTCTCCTGGAAGGAAGGGTTGAGCAATCACCGTTGAAAGTCGTTGGGACCAACACCGAGATCTGCACAAGAAGTACAGAAATATAGTATGAGTACAATCGACCACATATACTCCGTAAGTGTCGAACCTAACCTCAACGAAGCAGTGCCGAATCTATGACAACACACTTATTATAAACATATACGAGTATAAGCAGAAAAATAATAACAAAATAGAGAAACAACAAAGTACATTTACCGAAATATGAAAAAAATAACAGAAGGTCCCAGAATATCATCACTTCTCAATCGGACCCGAGAATATCATCACTTCTCGGTCTCACACCACAACACGGAAGCGGAAACCAACCACCAAAATACACTATCACCCTGCGCATGGCCTCGCGCAAGGCGGGGGCGCTAAGCCAATTTTTCAAATAGTTGGCCCACCGTCTCGCTGGCCCTATAGCGCCGTGCCATTTTTCAGGTTTTGTTTTTCACTTTTTGTATGCATATTTGATATTTGACCCCCAAACTCGATCTAAGGCTGGCATGTGGGCCTGGCCGATCCCTCAACGTGCCAAGTAGGTCTGTCCAAACGGTCCCAGTCCCGGACCGATTCCAAAATAAATGGTTCCGGGCTAAACGGTCTTTTTATAGGAACCGGCCCGGGATCGGGCCCACGAACTCATGGTCCCGGGATAAACGGGCCGGTCCCGCTGGGCCCAACGGCTAAATATGTTTTAAAGAAAAAAGTTAAATAGAAATTAGAGACAAAAAGATGTTAAAACAATATCTAAGGCAATGCCTTGTAGATTATATTATAGAATTGTCACATAAATTTTTTAATTCAAATTTAAAGACAAAAATATTGTAAAGAGATATTCAAGAATAGCAAGTGTAGGACGGATATGGGATTTGGTTCGGGGAGCCGGGGGTAAGGGAGGAGGAACAACATGACCACTAGATTCGCCACTCTTGGATTTTTCCTTATTCTTATTTTTGAAAAAATAATTTTTTAAGGAAGTCATCTTAATTAATCAAATAATAACAAATAAATAAAACAAACAAAAACTATAATAATAAGACTTAAGAATTGGAACGAGTTTACCGAATTGACGAATAACTTATTGAAAATTGATTATCGTTGAAAACTTGAATACTTCAATTCACCAACTTCACAATTGTTTCACAAATTGTAATAACCTCAATATTTTTGAACTATTTTTTGGAACAAAGTAAGCAATAGTAGCAACTATAGGAGAAAATTAGAGAGAGATTGTGATAGATTGATATTGATTTTGTAATAAAAATGAAAGAACTAGGAAGTATTTATAGTTGAAAATAGAGAAAAAGTGTAATTATAAAAAGTTTAGAGTTAAAACAAAGTTGGGGAGGGGGGGGAGGGGGGGGGAGGGTTAAATGGTTATTTTTGGACTGCCCAATAACTATTTTCTAAATACCCAATTTTGTTTTTTAAAAACTGACCGTTGGGACCGTTTGGTCCGTCAAGGGACCGGTCCGGTCCCGGTCCTACCGGTTCCAAAGCTAAGAACCGACCCACGAGACCGGCCCATACCCATACATACCGGTCCTATCGGTCCCAACCCACTTAGCCCATTTGATCCGTGGTCCCAAGCCCGTCCCAAGCCGGTCCCTGACCGGCCCACTTGCCATCCTTAACTCGATCTAGTTGAATTTTTGAATTTCTACTCAGACTTCGAAACTCCAAAATATCCGTTTTACCTCCAAAATTTCTCCTTAGCTAGGAATCAATTACTTCACAAATAAACTTATGTCATAAGTATGAAATACTCACTTTCAAACTCAAACACGATTAAATTGCAATAAATAATAGGTGAAGTGTAACTAAACGCTCGTGTTTCTAGCCTACTATCACAAACAAAACAACATAGACTTTAATAGATAATTTTAAATAGTTAAATGACTAATTGACTCATGAATTTTGGTAGTTGAAAGTTGCATTCATTTATCTTTTTTCCCTCTCTATGATATCAACCGAATTACCGAAGTCCTCTCAATCTAGCTGACTATAAAAAGACGTTGGCATAAAATTTGAGCGCGTCAACTGAATAAATGCCACCGTTTTGCAAGTATTAAGGGCGCATTTGGCCATAAAAAAAGATTCCTTTCTTCGATATTTTTTTTTTTGATTTTTTTCGAAATCAGTATTTGGCAATGAAATTTTTGATTTTTCCTTGAAGATGAATTTCAGAATTTTTCGAAAATTTTAAAAACTTCAAAAAACTATTTTTTAAAATTTTCACTTCAGATCATTCACAAAAATTCAAAAATAATCCAAAATTATATTAATGTCCCAATACAACTCTAATTTTCATATATCATTTTCACTTCAAATTATTCTTTTTCTTTTTTTCCGAAATTTTACAATTTTTATGTCCAAACGCCCACTAAATTATCTTAATCTTGAAGGCAGCAGGCTATATGCCTTTCACGTTACTAGTAATAATTGCACTATTTTATAACCTTCATCTCATGACGTCTATCTGTGTGACTTGAGCATATCATATAAAGTAGTCATGAAATTAGCTGGCTTTATCATTTACGTATTTTCTCAACCCAAATTTCGTAACTCAACCGTAGCTAGATAGTGCATTATTGATAGATCAAATTATGACGATGACAAACCATTGTTGTGAACCAATAATTGTTCTATTTTCTTTCTTTTATATATTTGGAATATACTATGTCAAGTGGCTGTAGTACTAAATTATTTAAACCAACCATTTGTTAATTGAGAAAAGGACGCTAAGATCCCCTTTTAAAGACTTCATAACAAAAGAAATGCTCCCTTTTAAAAGTATTACAGATTGTCTCTTTTGAAGATTTGGCCCAAGGTTATACCTGTCCCCCTCCTTTCTATGCCTTTGGCCTTAGGCTTTACCAAAGGTCCTGGCATGAATAAGATGCTCAATTATTCAAACAATAATTAGGTCAAGTAAAACAAGTAAGGCATATGAGACTTATCTTGTGTCTGAATATAAAACACATGCCATCTG